TGAGCCTCAGTTTTGTCACTTATTAAAAAAGGAGAATAATAGCCACCAGATGGATGATTATGAGGGTTCAATGAAGCTCTCAGAACAAAGATTCCAGTACAGGAAGTAGCTGCAGGGTCTGACACGTGGAACTTCAGTAAATTTCCACATTGTCATTGTTTCAGGCATTGTGCTTGCAATTCCAGCAGCTGCCACCAGGAGGTGTCTGGTGTTGGCTGTCTAGGCATTCCCCAGGAGGCCCCGCCATATGGCTGCCTGTCCCGGCGGCCAGCCTTACTTGTCCCGCTCCTCCTGGCAGGCTTTAAGATGTTTGCTGTGGGCGTGGGCAACGCTGTGGAGGACGAGCTGAGGGAAATCGCCTCGGAACCCGTGGCAGAGCACTACTTCTACACTGCTGACTTCAAGACCATCAACCAGATAGGCAAGAAGTTGCAGGAGAAGATCTGTGTGGGTGAGTGAGGCCAGGGCTGGCATCCTGGAAGGGGGTGTGGGTGGGGAGAAGCAGTTGGCAGAACCGGGAGGTGGGCTGGCCAGCTCAGCGCTTACTGCCGGCAAACATATTGAATGCTCTGTTATGTGGATGACGCTGTTCTCAGTGCTCAAGCATTAAACCATTCAATCCCATTTGGTAGGAATGCCATTATCCCCATTTTACAGACAGGAAAGCCAAGGCCAGGAGGGTGGAACAACTGTTAATAACTGAGGGAGCCAGGACTTGAATGCTGCTGCCTCCCCCAGTCCTCCCTGGTGGCCTCGCCAGTTGGTTCCTCATGGTAAAGATGTGGGCGCCAGTGCCAGACGTACCTGGCTTTGCAACTTGGCTCTGACACCGTGGCCATGGGCAAGTTGTTTCACTTCTTGGATTCTTCATTTGTAAAATGAGATGAATGACTTCCAACCCAAAGAGTTGGGGTGAGGAGTCACCAAGATGACAGAAGGCCCCTAACGGTGTCCTGCACATGGTGAGCACCCGGCACAGGGATGCTGCTATTGTAGTTCATTATCAGGGCTCTGAGGGACCAGGAAGACGTTCAGGAGTCTCCGCTCCACCACTCGTAGGGGCTCTGTCTCAGGAGCTCTGTCTCTCTGCCTTCTCAGACCCGAGGCCCCCCACTCTCCCAGGACTCCCCAGTCCTGGCCCTGGGCAGTGACTGTTCCCCTTCCCCTGCGCAACCACTCAACAGCCCCTCCCTCTTCCCCGCCTTCTTGTCCACCGCAGAGGAAGACCCGTGCGCCTGTGAGTCCGTGGTGAAATTCCAGGCCGAAGTGGAGGGGCTGCTGCAGGCCCTGACCAGGAAACATATCCTTCCCCAGAGGCGGCTGCGGGCCGGGGAGGGCTGGCAGTGTGGGGAGGAGGGGGCATAGCCCACGTGTGGGTGGGTCGGGGCAGGTCCTCCTCCCTGCCTCCTGCTGAAGAAGGGCTGCATTTTGCCCAGATAGGCTGGTGCCAGCTTTGGTACAGACCTTGTCAAAGCAGAGGCTCCTAGAGGGTAAACAGGGAAACCGAGGCAGAAGCAAGGATCTGGGGACTGGACACACACAGTCTGGACATGCTCAGGAGAACATGGTGTCCTGTGGATTCCCCATTCCCCAGGTTCTCGGTGACGTGGCTGACACAGCCCCCCTTCAGAGGTGGGGCTGGGCTCCAGACAGCTCCCCTGGCTCAGTCAGGATGACGTGTGGGACCCAGCAGGGTGAGCAGGGCTGGGCGCACGGGGCTCACAGTAACCGGCTGTGCTTTTTGGAAAGCACCGTCCTGAGGACAGTGGATGGATGAGTTTTGGCAGAGTGGGGAACACATGCTGTAGGGGGCGAGAGAAAGCCCTAGAAAAGGAGCCCTCTGGTGGCAACAGGAAGGGGAGTCCCAGAGTGGGGGCCTCACCTGTCACTGCTCTGCTCTGGCCAGCCTGCACCTCTCCTTAACTCCGAGTCCACTGGAAGCTGTGAGTAAGCGGCTGGCCATCCTGGAGAACAGGATCGTCTAAGGCCACTTGTCCCTCCCGCGGCCTCTCCGTCTCCCCATCCCAAGTGCAGAGTCCTGCGTGTGCACCCAAGAGCCCCGAGTTTAGTCTAGCTTTGCCATTTTCGTGAGGGAGGACAGCCTGGGAGCGGGAGGGAGTGTGTTTGAGTGTGCCTGTTGGTAGTGTGTGCTGGCGTTTGGGAGCACATGTGTGTGCACATGCACGTGTGAGCGTGCGCATGTATGTATGTGTGTGTGCATGTGCGTGCATGTGTACACACACCCGAGGGCAGGCGTGAGCGCGGTAGCCGGGTGCGAGAGTCAGAACGTAGGTGTGAGTGTGAGAGGGACTGCGTTTGCATGTTTTCCCATCAAAAGCTTAATATATTCCTATTTTTTTTTTAGTTAACCCTTTCTTGACGCCAAGTGCTGTGAATCTCTTTTCTGATTTCTCTATTCCCTGATGAGAAACAATTAAATGTGATTAACTTAAAAACTGAATGGGGCTAGAGGCAGTGTGGTTATTTGGGGAGCAGGAGAAAGGGTTGATAAGGGTGGCAGGTGGGGGGATTGCTGGGATGGCAACCGTGGTGGTGACGGTGACGACAGTGGCCACACCAAAACCAGCTCACCTTTGTCCTGCCTTTTCAGTTGCAAATCCATTCCATAACCAAACCCAGAAAAGCCTTGAGCCAACCCCCCTTACAGAGGGGACAGCTGAGCATCTGAACGATGAAATGACTGCTCAGCAGAGGGTCAGTGGGACACACAGACCTGGGTCTGGGACTGCAGGACATTAAAAAAAAAGTCCACTGGAAGCTGTGAGTAAAGCGGGCTGGCCATCCTGGGGAACAGGACCGACTAAGGCCACCTGTCCATCCTGTTGGCGAAAAGGGGCAATGGCACCAGATCAGACTCATTTGTTCATTCATTCATTCAAACATCAAATCCTTACAGAGTGTACCTCAATGTCAGGCAGTGGGGAGATGGTGGCGTATGAGACAGACATGGTTCCTGCCCTTAAGGGACTTACAGGTGAGCAGGATGCTCATGTCACCATCACCCAGCCAGAGGAAGAGAGTGGGTTTAGGTTGTACTGGGGGTTTGTGCCTCCTCTCGATATCTGGGAGCCCACGGCGGGAGTGTACGTGAGTGTGTGTGAGAGCTGATGGGAAGGCTTCCAGCCTGAGCCTGGGCTGGCCTCGGTGCCCCTGCACGCCCCCCACCCTTGTCCTCTTTGTTGTTTCCTGGACACGAGTGGCTCCACCAGCCACCTCCCACCCCAGGGACTGCTCAGGGAAGGACTCCTGTCACTTTCACCCCAGCCCCTCCTGAAGTCCACCCGCCACACCCTGAGATCCCACCCCCTTCTCCCAGGCTTGAGTGGGCGCTTCAGTGATTTTTCTGTGCCCATTCTTGTTTAACGGAGCGTTTTTAGT